GAACTTTCTATGCTTTAGGTTGCAATTCCATAAAACAATTTTTATGACTAGGTTGCAGTTTGAAAAACACTTTGTATGATTTAGGTTGCAACTCGATGAAGAACTATGCGTGGTTTAGGTTGCAATTCGAACAACAACTTCTATGTTTTAGGTTGCAGTTCTACGAAGAACTATGATTTAGGTGGCAACTCTACAAAGAACATTTTATGGTTTGGGTTGCAGTTCTATAAATCTCAGCACTCTATGCTTCTAAGAAATGGTGAGAAGTCACTTGTTGTGATGGTGAAAAGCTGATTGGCGCTTCAAGCAGCAGAAGCCAACATCTATGGATGTGCACAGTGTTAAGTCTTCCATCCAACACTCTGGGCGTTCATCCAGGTCTCTAGGCGTGGATCATGGGAAAGGGGGGTTGAGCATGCATGTAGATAAGGAAATACATAAACATCTATATATATATATACACATACACATATATATATATATATGACTGTATTTGCAGTTTCAGATACGCCTGCGGCAAAGCCGGGGTGCCAGTGGGGACAGCGATGTTTCAAGGGTCAGGAACCCGAGAAGTGCTCTGGTTCCTCTCAGAGCCCAGGAGAAGCTGAAGCTGTTGAGGGCGCTGCTAGCTGAGGTGGGGCAGGGGGTGGCAAGATGAGACCAGCCTGGGAAGATGCTCCCCTGCTCAACTCAAGCAACTGTGCGTTCAGGCATTTGCAAGTTCAGACATGTGCGCACCCAGACATTTAGAACATCCAGACGCTTTAGATTCCTGGCATTTTAGACCAACGCTTTTTTAATAAACAAACTCCGCTCGTTTTGACTCCAGACATTCTTTATTCCAGACATTCTGCAATCCAGACATTTAAAGCTCCATACATTTCTTCCGGACTTTTTTCGACTTTGACATTTTGTTATCCAGACATGTTTTGTCCAAACAGCTTGCCATCCACATTTACTAACCATCCAGACATCTTTACCGCCAGACATTCCGCAAACAAAACACTCAACCGGGCTCCCTTCTCCGAAGGAAACTTTGGTACAAGGAGTGGCCTTCAGGTTCCATGTTAACTCAAGGGAAAAATTGTGGCTTCTTCGTTTTCCCTTGAAGGACCTTCCTGGGAACACTTCTGTTGGGGACTGTAGGGCCGGGATTCCACATGTTTTTGTTGCTTTCATGGTTGCATGCTCAAACATGGAGGGGAGGGCGCAGTATGTTTTCACTCGCTTTGACTACACGCAAAGGGTTATGCATTTCAATAAGAGACCGCCTCACGCGTGGTTGGTGGACATGAATCCCAACTTGAATCAAGCCCAGACCCCTTAGGACTTTAGGGTTCCCTTTTACAAGAAGTTCTTTCGGAGCCCAGGGGTTGCCCTTTGCCAACCCAGGAATTAGTCTTGGTGTTTTTTTCTTGTTTTTCCCCCAACAGCTGAAAGCTTTGGGGTCTCACCCCAGATAGGCTCCGTGGTGGTCCGGGGCAGCCCTGAGGTAAGGTTCCACGAGGGTTCCACCGCATGCAGGTGGGGATATCGCCTGAGTTTTTTTTCCCGGGGCAGGCCATTGGCACGGGCCTCATCGTCCTCTTCGGCTGCGGCTCCGTGTGCGCCTCGCTGTCCGGGGCCTACAACGGCGTGTGGCAGGTGGCGGCGGTGCGCCTCGGAGCCGAAGCGAAAAAAACATAAAGAAACGCCGCGGCGCATCGTTTTTTTTTTTGGGGGGGTGCCATGTATGTGAGGGGTGGGTGGGTATGGTGGAGAGTTGGGGTCTACTCGTTGTGTTTGTCTTTTCCTTTTCTGCGGGGGGGGAGGGGTATGGTGGAGAGTGGGGGTCGGTTTTTCAATTACCATATTTTTTTGGGATAAGTGATTTTTGGGGTTCCAGGACGCAAGCTATAGTCTAGGAGTCCGTGGCACTGGGGAGCGTGTTGTGTGCAAGTGTCCAGTTCCCACGCTTCTTCTTTGCTTGAGGCGTCTGATCTCCCTTGGCATAGGCGGGTTTAAGGGTTTGATTTTTCGTCGGCGGGCTTCTGTTCCTTTTATGCGGAAAGCGCAAGGACAACCAAAGCAGTTTTAGGGCCGCCTTCTGTATTCCAATCTGCCCGAAAATGCGATAGAGTCGTCATGGGGGTGATTCTCTACAAGAGGAAGCAGGAGCTATGCTCGGCTGGGCCGTTCACTTGTGAACTATAGGAACGGAAACCCTCTCACTCGGGCGCAAGGAGCCTGAGCAACAGACACCATCGTCAGCCAGCAAGAATAAGCAACATCACACATGGCGACAACAACTACCTTGACGATCACGACGACGACGGGCACCACAACAACAGCAGCTGGCAGCACCGCAACAACAACCGCAACCACCACTACCACCACCCGCCGCCGCCGATCTCTGCGTTATGTTGGCTTTCACATGTGCCATCAATGCTTCCAAGTGGAACGGATTAAGCCAGGTCAGCCTCCCCAGCAAAGTGTGGCTGCTTTATGCACTCATGGCGTGTGGGGTCTCGAATAAACTGCAGGCGAGGTAACCAAGCGCGAGGCAGCTTTTGGCCCTTCCAACCAAAGCAGCTTGCACAAACGCCCTGATCCCAGCCCAACCCGCCTGAACGCTTAAACGCTTTTCGCCTCGGCTTTGGTTTCGTTGCCGCAGGGTTTGCGCTGATCGCTTTTGGCTTCGAGGTGGGACTTTGTCAGAACTAAACCACCAGGAATTGCAGCGCAGGTGTTAGCCTTCCCTTTCCTAGGGTTCCATTCAGGGCTAATGGAGGAACTTGATAAGCCCCCCCCCAAGGTTGACAAGGTTTGGGAAAATCAGATTTTGGGGGTTCCCCTGGGGCCTCCCCCGAATAATTGATCTGCAGGACTTGAGGCTTGAGAAGCTTGCATTCTCTTATTTTCCAGGGCTGGAGAGGGACTTGATTAATCAGAGGGGGTTTTGTGTTATTCGGGGGGGGGGGCTAGGCTTGAAGGGGGGTACCCTTTGCGAGCTTGTCAAACCTTGTTTTTAAAACAAAATGTAATAATAAATTTGCTGTTTCCGGCTAGCCGTTTTTTCTTGATTTCTGGAATCGCAACCCTTGAGACTATGAAAGGAGTTGGTCTTGGCAAAAGTATTGGCAATAGCTTTGGCAATTTAAAATGTATTTGTTTGGGCGTTTCTTTTCCGGAGTTTTGGGCCGGACAGGGACGTCTTTAATCAGGGGGGGTTTTTGGAGGTGCCCACAAACAAGTAAGGGGTGTTTTTTGGCCAAGCCTTGTGGGTGCCTCCTGGAAGTGGTCTGGGGAAACCGGAGGTCTTGAATCAGCGCAGGTGTATTCGTCATGTTCCATTCGGGGTTCCATTTGAGGGTACCCTTTTTTGACCCGCAGCCATAATTAGAGCGCAGCGTTCCGGGTGTCACTTCACCGGGGTACCCATTTTTGCCCCCGGTTTTGGCGTCTTCCATCTCCGAATGGGCTGGCTGCATCCGGGGAGCCGCACCGCGCCGAGGTGGGGCCTGGGGGTGTCCTTGGCCATCTACAGCACTGCGGAGGCCAGCGGCGCCCATCTGAACCCCGCGGTGACCTTGGCCTTCCGCCTGGTGCGGCCCCAGGCGCACGGCTGGGGTTGGGGGGGTTGGGGGGGGGGGGGTTGGGGGGGTTGGGGGGTTGGGGGGGGTTGGGGGTTTGGGTTTTGGGGTTTGGGGGGGTTGGGGGGGGGGGGGGGGTTTGGGGGGGGTTGGGGGGGGTTGGGGGGGTTGGGGTTGGGGTGTGTTTTTCTTTCTTTTTTTGGGGGGGAGTTGGGATGTTGGGTTGTTCTTAAAGCAAAGCTGCTTTTGGGGTCCCACTATTTTGGCAGAGGGTGTGTTTTGCTTTGAGACGGCTTTTGGACGTGAGCCAGGCCTGAGACAGTGCAAATTAAGACGAGCTGTCCGATCAAAGCGAGCTCACCCATGATGAAGGTCCTCTACACAGGGAGTCCTGATTTCCAGTGCTGTATTACAGACATGTGCCCATCTGGATGCTGTAAGGGATGGAGGATGGTCGTCATCCCTTGTTTCCCTGGGTTACTTGAGACACATGTTCCATGGCCGCAAGACCCTTTGGAGGTGGGGATTTAAACAAACATGACAAAGATTTCGAGCATGGGAGCCATGACCACGACACGGATTCGGAGTTTTGACAATGGCTCACCTTTTCATGGTTGTCGGACAGTTGATTTTAGTTCCATTTTTTGGCGTTTGACGGGAAAACATTCAAAGTGTCAAAGTAGTCACGGTGCATTTTGGAATAACAGAAAGGTAGAGTGCATCTGTTTCTTGGCTGTCAAGTAAGTGACCCGTTGTGCCCAGCGATTTCTGCGGCGCTAGATGGGTAACAAAAGGGGACATGCCGTTTCCTGTTTCCTCGGGATCCGAGAGCTTCGGTCCGTGAGGCGCACGGCATGACCTGGCTGAAGGCGGGGCTCTATGTGGTGGCGCAGATGCTGGGGGCAATCTTGGCAGGCGCCCCCCGTGGCTGGCCACTTTGCGTGGGGTTCGGCCTGTGGGGAACACGAGTTTGGAATAAACAAATGGCTGTGGGTCAAAACCAATGGGATCCCATTTTGGGGTAGGTGCACCACCCATTTTAGATCCTATTTTACTGGGGATTGCTGACAAAGAATGTTGATGATTCGGATCAACCAGCACTAAAGAGGTCCTGCAAATTGTGCTGAGTCTTATTTGGCAAGCAACAAGTTTGGACTTTCTTTGAACCTCCCGCCGAGTATAAGGCGTTGCAGGTGTTCGCTCGCAGGAACTGGCACAGGACATCCGAACCCATTCGCCCAGGGCTTTGTATCGTTGCCAAATGGGAATCCGTGAAAGGAAGGTTTGACCTTTGACTACCGAGTTTCTTTTTGTGGGACGATTTTGTTGCGCAGAGGGCATCCCCAAATGTACTGTAAACCTTTGACAGCCTCAGTTGATTGCCACCATCGGTCGGGTAGGATTCCGAGGCTATTGCAAACCGCAAATTTTTGGCGTCACAGCATCCGACAGTCCACATCTTTCGCAAGCTGAGTGTGATCAAGCGTCGGCATGCGTCGGCTTTTTCCGGCCGCAAAATTGAGCTAACTGGGGTGGCTATGGTGGATGAGTGGCATATGTTCCTTTGTTTCGGAGCCTAATATTAGATACCCAACATCATCAACACACACACACACACACATGCACACACAACAACGAGCCTTTGCTTACGGGCTTTTGATTGTTTGGGTGCAGCTCTTGCCGATTTCGTTTTTGTTGTTCACCACCCCGCATTTTTGTCTCGCCTGCAACATGTCCCAGGCATGAATGTGGACACTTGGTTCAGGCTGCCACTAAGTGACCAAGCACGTGACTAAAACAAAAACATATCCATGTTCCACGAGGCGGGCTTTCTTTCAGACCAGACCGACCTGTTAGGAGTCAACCACCAAACGGTATCACAGACAGGAGCTGGCCCATTTTCCACACCCAATATCATCAAATTGCAAGGTATGCCCATTTGGGTTTATATCCAGATCCATTTACCTGCGTAGGCAGCCAAGGGAACTCTGCCTCGCTTACTTTGGGGGGTAACGGGGATCTACTGGGTACCCTTGTTTGGCGACACTTAGTTACCAGACCCATTCTCCATGTCCAATATTGGGCGACCCTTCATATGCGATACCAACTTGGCCAAGTTTTCAGCACCTCAAGTGGGATCAGTCCCATTCAAGATCGCAGTGAAGGAAATTGGATAGCATCACTGGTGATAAAAAGTGGCCCCCACTTCATCAGAAATGCACTAGAGGTGATACCAGAGCCCTTCAAAGTGATAAACAAGTGGACCAATCCCACTGCATCACAGAGTTGGGGGTGATTTTCGGTAAAATCCCACTTCCTCACAGACTTGGGCGGTGATTTTGGCTAGGATCTCATCACAGACTTGGGGGGTCATTTTCCACCAGGCGCCTGGAACCTCTTCATCTACGGCGGCACCATCCGCGCCTTCGAGCGGCAGAACGGCATCGTGCGCGGGGCGCCCAAGTCCGTGCTGTCGGCGTCTGCTTTCGGGGAGTACTTCCCCAACCCGGGGCTCTCCCAGGCGCGAGGGACGTCGGGCGCAGCGTGGGCGGATCCGGGGGCGAAACGGCGCCGAAACGGGGCGTTGGGGTGTTGGCTTAGGGGGAAAGGCGGTGCGGGGGAGGAAACGGGGGATGGGGGGGGGGGGGGGGGAATTGCGGGGGGGGGGGGAATTTTGGATTTGTTGTAGTGTTTTGGATAGGGAGAGATCTTTCGTTCTTTTGGGTGGGGTGGGGTAAGGGGAGGTGCTTGGATGTTCAACCTGCTTGGTAAGTAGGCGGTTCCATCAACCGGGGTTGGCTTTGCGACCGTGGTTCTGAACTTAGCAGGTTGAACACCTAGCTGGCGAATATCGCTGGTTGATAGGTCCAATTGGTTTCTGTGCAAGGTGAGCTTTCCTAAGATGTAAATGCAGCAAACTTGCCTTGGTTTGTTTTCAGGGAAGCCCAACGGAATCGTTTGCGGATGGAAGGCACGTACTGGAGCCTGCTGCTTACTTAATCTACGGGGCGCATCAAACGCATGCAATTTCTGGCTTTCCATCAAAAAAGGGACCTTTTGAAGGGTAAACATGCCAGGGTAGAGCGGTCGATCCTTATCTTGGCGCAGGAAGAATGTGATTTGGGACGTGCTGTCCAGCGGGTCAACACAGTGGGGTTTTATGGAGGTTATTGTCAGTGCAGCGCTTATGACCAGATTGGTGGAACCAACGGCATGGGGGCTGGGGGGAGGGAGGGGGGAGGGAGCCCAAATCAGCCCTAAATAAGGCCTTAATAAGGGCTTATTTAGGGCTTAATAAGGGCTTTCCCCCCCCCCCCCCCCTCCCTCCCCCCCAGCCACTGGTCGCCGACATTCAAGTCAGCGCCCCGAGTTTGCGAATCCAAGTGTCCAAGTCAGCGCGCCAAGTCTCGGAATCCGTCCAGGCTCCAAGTTTCCGAATCAGTGTCTGGACCGTCGCCGACTCGCTCTGACGCGCATGGGAACGGAGCAACAGTTCAAAAAAGGCGAATCCGGAGCCAGAGGGTGGCTGGAGGTGTCTGGTTTTCTGGCAGTAGAGCGGAACCAAGCCGGAGCTCCCTTGTTTGTTTGGACTTGGAAGTCTTCGCATGGAATGTGGGCTCTTGGTTGAGCAGCAAGCGTTCTCTAGAGGTGTGGAAACAAGTGGTAAAGCTCCCGCACTTAAGCAGTTGTACTTTTGGCAGGGCTTGACCAGGTCTGGCTCTGTCGTCATGCTTTCCAAGGAAAAGGGGAGCTATCGCGTATCACTAAACACTGTTTGAGTTTTTGAGTGCGTGCTTGCAGTGGACAGGGAGCAGTGCTTTCACGAAGAAGTCTACACTTCGTGTTTGGTGACTATACTCGCATCATCCACTTAATTTTGCTCGTTCCTGGTCTGTTGCCCTCTTTTGGGTTCTTCAAAGGGCCACCAAATCACAACCACGGCGTTATCATTCCCAGACTCGCTATATAACCCGTTTCCTTTCCTCAACTTGCATCAAGCCTTCTTCGTCCCCGCCTCCAGTTTGAATCTCTTTCAGTCTTCGAGTCTTCCGCGAAGACCGTGCGCTTTTTTGGACTCCCCCAATTGGGATTTCAAGTTGGAGCCAGTCTACTCGTCTACCCCCTGAAAGGGGGTGGCTCCTGAATCAGGAGTGGGGCGGCGGGCCCTACTTGGCGGAGGACGTGCCTCTGGAGATGGCTTTGCTGACAGAAGCCTGGGGCACCTTCGTGCTGGCTTTTGTGACTTGGCAAGACTTGGTGCCTCCGTCCCCTTTGAAACCGGGAAAAAAACACGGGCACCTTTTTCCATGTGGCGAAATGGGCGTTAATCAAATCTAAGCGAATCTAATCCGATCTGACCTAATTTTATTCATCTATTTGAGGATACGGATGTTCGCGACAGTTACTTTAGTAAGCTGAAAAGCATTTCCTTTGTTACGACACTGGTGATGCTGGGGGCATCGTCAGCCAGTTTAGTCAACAAAGACCGTGAACATCAGACCTGTGTTGTGCAAAGAAGTTTCATGCTGAGCGGCTTTCAAGATTCGGCCATATTTTTCCTTTACTAAAACACTGGTGATGCTGGGAGTGCCGACCACTTTAGCCAACGGACGAGATCGACATCTACATACTCTTAGAAGTGGAGAATCGTCATTTGCATTAACACGCTGGCGACCACGGCGACATCTACGGCAAGCAGGACCTCGTTTTCGTTACAGAAGCGCTGGTGATGCTGGGGGTGTCGACCGACCACTTTAGTCAGCAAAGACTGTCAAACGCAGTCCAAGCCATGCTGAACTCGAAAAGTGCAGTATCAATCAATTTGTTTCAACAAGTTCCAAGATCTCGGCCCGAGTGCCTGTCAGTGGTGGATCCACGGCAGCTGAAGATCGGGAGATTTCGCCCCATGGCTGTGCGGCTCGGACTCCGACCTCCTGAGGCTGGTCACACCTGGACTGGGCTCCTCCGCCGATGCGAGGACACTGACTGCTCCCTCGTGAGGGCCTGGGCTTGCGGCTTCGACTTGGCCCTCCTGGTCCCCTTTGACCTCTTCATGCAGGGAGACCTCATCACGGTCTACCAAGGTCAGATCTCCAAGGATTCCAGCGACCTCCTCAAGTGCTCGCTGGATGAACACTCAAGCTGGTACCCGCATGCCTCTTTGGATGCGGGTGCCTTCTGGCGCCTTCGGGAAGCCTGTTGGGCGTCTCGGCCATTGCCCACCTGGATGCCAACGAGTTCTGTTGCAACACGCTCAAGATGAACGACGCCAAGGGGGTCATCCATGGCGACATCAACAACTACCAGGACGTGGAGAAGTTGCACGGCATGGACAATGCACGGAAATCCCTGCTGGCAGCAGGATTTCCCTGCCAACCCTTCTCCACACAAGGGGAGCGGCTGGGACATCAAGATCCTCGCAGCACAACCTTCTGGGGAGTGCTTCGGGCAGCCTGGCTTCTGCAATCCTCCACCCTCATCCTAGAGTGCGTAGCAAGCGTGGCTCGCTTTCCCTTCATCGCTGAGGGTCTCCACACGCTGGCCAACATGATGGGGTACCAGGTGCGTACAGTCCAGCTTTCCATGCATCACCAATGGCCATGCAGAAGGGACCGTTGGTGGGCTTTGATCGCTCCGGCCTTCCTGGACCTCTCGGACCTACAAGCCTGGCCCCTTGCAGAAGACCTCCAACAGGTGCGGGACATCATCCCACGCTGGCCGCTCTGGCCTAGGGAGGAAGAGCAGCAACTGCAGCTCACCCACCTTGAGCTCAGCTACATGCACAACCCGGCCTACGGAGATGACACCCAACTACTCTCCACAACCTCCTCATGCCCTACCATACTCCACTCCTACAGTCACTCGCTCAAGGGCTGCCCATGCGGCTGCAGAAGCCACCCATTTCGGGAAGAACGCCTTCTGCATGCAGGACTCAGAGGATTCTACGTCATCTCGCAGGTGCTCAACCGGCCTAGATTCCTGCATGTTCAGGAAGCAGCGCTCCTCAACACGGTCCAGCATGGGTACATCTTTACAGGGGCAAGAGACGGGCTATGCCTGATAGGCCAGATTGCAGCTCCACTTCAGGCACTCTGGGTCGTCTCTCACCTTGTCCAAGCAGTCCAATACTTCTGGCACATTGGAACTCCTTGCCAACCCATGCAACTTATCAGGAGCTACAAGGACTCCCTGCTCTTCCGCAAGCACCACAACTGGATAGACGACGCCTCGCACAGCACCCAGCTCCACAACCAAGGCCAAGTCCCCATCCACTTCGTCAGAGAAGGACTCCGGGACGTGCGGGATCTCCTGACTGCTGAAACCAACCTTCTCGGCTGCCCGGTTGGCCTTTGCGATGGCAACTTCCTCCTCCCTGCAGACTCAGTCCTTCAACAGAGAGGCTACTACGGTCCATACCAGCTGCTACCACTTGGCCCTGAACACCCACCTCTACCTGGTCATCTTCAACTACACGCCCTACTGGACCCAGATCCAAGCAGGCAGCTTCCTGCTTGAGGCCACCAATGCGATTGAGCCCAACAACGTGACCTGGTCCCTCTACCTTGAGGACGGCCAACTCATGTACAAGGACACGCGGATCTACTCTGACCTCAGCTGAGGGCTATCGGCACCATCACAGCAGGCGGACCAGGCCAGCTTGGATTTTCTGACGCCCACATCAACCTGGCAATGCGCCGCATCCTACATCAGCACGACCATGTCGGAGGCACCCCTGTCCAGTATCTCAACCCCATTGATTCGCGACGGGTCCTTGACACCGGCTACAACCCGGACACGTTCTACTACATGGACACAATCGCCATCTTTGACTACGATGGACACTGGGCGGTGCTGTTCTGCACTGCCAGCCCTGCGGATGGCTTCCACGCCTACATTTATGATGGACTCCCAGGACGCGCCCTGTCAGGAGGGCACGCGGACACGCCTTGTGTCTCCATCAGCCCTCTCTCCTACCTCACCCAGCAGCATGACCACACCTGTGGCACCATCGCCCTCCTCCACATCCAGGTCCTTCTCAACCACAACCACAACTTTGATGAGGCTGATATCCTCCAGCAGCACAACGAACTCCTGGCTGCCACCCTCAACAACCTTGGGCATCACTCAGCCCGCGGACCGGCGATCACGTCGAGTACCAGCTGGTCCAGCTCCTCCGCTCCAAAGGAGTGCCAGAACAGAGACTCCAAGACCGGGCCCAACAGCCCATCAAAAAGCTCGGACTAGCGGACCTGAGCAAAACCAACCAGTGGGCCGCCCTCAAGGCGCTCGGGTCCAGACCACACTGCAACTTTCTCTTCGTCCACCACGATGACTGCGCAACTCCTGCCCCAAGTCACCGGTTGAGGAGGACAATCTCGAGAAAGTCCTCTTGGATATTTGGGGACAATGGTCAGGCCCTAGCAACAGCAGGTCTGAACCAGGCCAGGCTGCCAGCTGGAACATCCTCGCTCGGATTCCTTGCACCGCACTACGAAGCATCATGCAGATCTCCGGCACTGGTGGTGTCTACATCGACCCCAAGGACTCTGAGCACGCGGTTGCGCTCACACGCCTCCAGGACAAGTACGGCATCAGATTCACACAAAAACACCTTGAAGCCGGCCATCACTCCCTGAGACCTGAGGAGCCGTTCCTGCGTCGACGTCTACCGCCTTTTCCCACTTCCATTTGGAACCCAGAGGTCCGGGCTTGCCAAGCTCCTCAAAACCTGGGAATGGACGGCCAAACCACTTCAACCTTGCAGAGGGGGCTCCACAGGCATTGGCTGGGAAGCTGGTACAGATGTACCTCCGCCAGCCAGGTCCGAGCAAGGTGATGGCGCCTCAATTGAAATTGGAGCCCAGGATTGCAAGCCATGTGGCTCAAGTTGGCCAAGCGCGGATGGGGAAAAGATGTCAGCGCACCCAATGCTGCCATCTGCGTGTCCCCAAGTGCCAGTGTGTGTCCCTAACGGGATGTCGGTGTGGAGCGTCCCAAGGGCATCTGCTCCATGAACTTCAGTGAAGAGAAGTGTCGAGAGGAGTGTGAGGATCCAGGGCAGTGAAGTTTCGCGTCGGTGCTTGTTTGGAGAATGGAGCGCCCAGCCCGCACCAGGGCTGGGCCCGGTTGACGTAGTCAATCCGAGCGGGCCTTCTTTGAGAGAAGGGCTTCAAGGCGCTGGAATCCACTTGACATGTCTGCTCGGACATAGGACTGGACTTTGTGGAGTTCAGTCTGCTGGTTGGCGACTTGCTGAGAAAGGTGATGGTTAGTGCGCTCGTTGGCAGAGGCTGCCTCTTTGAACCAGCCTTCGAACTTGTGATTATGCTGTCTGAGCTCGGAGACGTCAGCTTCAAGCTTGAGGAAGCGGGCGTTGACCGAGGTGGCTTCAACTCCCATGTCGGCTCCGAAGCCCTTGAAGTCTGCGATCTCTTTTCGGATGGCCGTGCGCAGGTCGGATTTGAGACGGGCTTCAACCTGCTGTATCTTGTCGACTCAGGTGTTGGTGTGGCTGCTTTTGGTGGCAAGTGATCCGGAAGCGCTGGAGGACCAAGGGTCTGATCTGTTGAGCCAGGGATCTGGGGCTGGGTGGAGGAAGCAGCTCCTCGAACTTGCGTGTCCTGTCTGTGGCAATGACAGCCGCTTGCTCGCGAGTGGTTCTGTTGGCTTTGACCTTGCTGACGATGACGTCCCCGTGAGCACTGGGGAGAATGCTTTGCCCGGTTCTACTACCTCAGTGCGCACAGTCGCAATCTTGGGTCGGGTCTGTCCAGGTGGTTTGCCTCAGAGGGGCTTCCTGCCCCTCCCTTTCGCGCCACACGGGTCGGGGAAGCCGATCCTCCCTCACCATCGGCACAGCTAATCCAAGTGGAGCCATCGGGAAAGCTGACTACCTCATGGACTTGCCCTACGGCATCAGGAACGTCGCAGAGACACACTTGGCGACACCCTCGATCCACCACAGCTGGAGTTTGGGCTGGAGTCATGCAGTTCTCCGACACTCCTGCCGCCCCCTTCAAGCTGACCTGGCCGGACTCCCAGTACTCGCTGGGACGAGCCCAAGTTTCCCAATTCAGATGCGGCAAGCACACCGTCACCGGTACCAACCTCTATGGTTGGCCATCCTCGCCGTCCTGGCCATTGGCATGCGACCACACCAATACTCTCATCGATCACTTGACCCGCGAGATCATCTTAGGCCGTCAAGGCCTGAGATTCGTGGCCGGAGATTTCAACGCCAGTGAGGACAAGCTCGCGGCCATCCACATTTGGAAGCAATGCGGCTGGGTCGAAGCCCATGAACTACATCAACACAGCTCACCGGGCAACCGCCGCTTCCCACCTACCGAGGACAAACTCGACCTGATCGGCTGTACCTCTCCCCGGAACTTGCGGGTTACTTCCGGGACTGTCAAGTCAAACAGGACTTTGCGGATCACGCCACGATCAGGGCCAACTTTGTCCTCCCCGACTTCCACTCGGCCACCTTCACGTGGCCTATGCCGGCTCCAATTCAATGGAGCCAACTTGCTCCAGACACATGGAGAACGGGGGCCACAAGCTACCAACTCCCGGCCCTACCCAACGGCTCCACCACCGACACCTTCAAACACGTCGGGAGTCAAATTGAGAACTTTGCCAGTTCGACCTTCCAAGCCAATGGACTACCTCCACTTCCTGCAGCCAGCAAAGGGCGAGGCCAACGGCTCAAACCCATCAAGCGCCTCACGCAGCGACTTTCGGTTCGCCCCAGCCGACCAGGAGAAATACAACTCAACTCGGATTCCATCAACCACTCCATCCTCAAATGGTTCAAGCAACTACGCCGACTCCAGAGTCTCCTTCACTCTTTGAGATCTGGAGGTACATCCCCCACACACCTTGCGCACCAACTTGAGCTTTGGCAAGCCATCAAACAAGCAGCGGGCTTCCAATCCGGATTCGCTACTTGGTGGCTCACCCGTTCACACCGCAGCCAGGGAGCGCCTGTCGAACTCCCCCAGACAGTCCCGTCACGGGCAATCATTGAAGTCCTCTTCCTGGATTTCCAACACAACTTCAGAGCCTTGGAAAGCTGGCACCATCGTCAGCGCGGCAAACTCATCAAGGCTTGCTACCAGCAGCACTGCCACCTTGCCTTAAGGAGATTCCTTCGAGGCCCTGGACTACCTTGTCAAGACAGAGACCGCCACCATCATCGGGGTCTCCGACACCGGAGACTACATCCAGACTGATGTCAGTCCAATCGCGCACACGGAGGCCCACTAATCCATCAACGGCCTCCCGGTCTCCATTGACAACCAAGATGGGGATGCCATGCAGATCCACTCCGACTACCTTCTCATACCTGGGCATGAGCTCACTCAGAAAATCACCCACTTCGACCCTGACACCATCCACGACGAGCTCTCAACCTTCTGGAACCACAGGGCAACTGCAAACCGAGCTGAGGTTTGGGAGCGAGTTGTCGCTTTTGCAAGGGCCTACATCCTACAGGGCATCCTTGAGCTCCCACCCCTAACGGAGACCAGCTGGAGTGCCTCATTCAGACGCTTCAAGAAACACTCTGCCCGTGGACCAGATGGCATTGCAGGAGAAGACCTACGGCACCTTCCGGATGCCCTACGCACCCAACTCTTCCAGCTGCTGCAGAACATTGAAGCAGGAGCGGATTGGCCTGAGCAACTCCTTCAAGGCTTTGCCCATCCAGTTGCCAAAGTGCCCAAAGCTGAAACGGTCGCACAATACAGGCCCAGCATCGTCCTCGCGACAACCTACCGCTCCTGGTCGAGCACAAGGGCAAGAGCAATACTTCGCTCCATAGGATGGACGAACATTTGGCTTTCTACCCGGTCGAGACGCGCAAGAAATCTGGGAGCTGCTGCAGGCACTCATCGAGTTCCAGGCGGAAGCTCACCACGGATGATACAAAGTCCTACACCTGGGCTATTCACAACCAGCACAGAGAGCAACTTCGTGCCCTTGGACACCACACCCAACTCTACAACAAAGACCTTGGAGGTCTCATGCACTACGACGCGAAGCGACGCACACAACACCTCCACCACCAGATCCAGCTTCTCCAACCCCAATGGGACCTGCTTCGGCGTCTCTCCTGTCTGGGCGAGCTCAAGAAGCGGATCATCATCCAGGCCTTCTGGCCGAAGCTCTTCCACTCGGCAGTTTTTCTGTGACCATCCTCCGCAGATTATTCACCAACTGCGGACTACGGTCATGAAGGCGCTGGGCTGGCAACAAGCTGGAGCGAACTCCCTGATCAGCCTTGGGGTTCTCGTTAGAAACCCCCTCCTTGACCCTGGCCTCTTCCAACTCTGGACCTCCATCCGGACCTTCAAGCGCATACTACGCAAACAGCCAGGACTCCTTGATCCAGGGCATCTTGACAAGCTGCGTGCCGGCCCCTTCTCCACCATCGTGAGGCTTCTCAGCCAGATTGGATGGCGGGTTGAGCAGGTCCCCATTCTTCAGGACCATGAAGGCCTACAACATGACCTCTGCACCACACCGGAGGCACTCCTCCTCAGGCGCCTCACTGCAGGTTGGCGACATTGGATCTCCCTTCAATTTGCGCACCGGCAAGACTACTCAGGACTGCAGGACATCAACTGGCAGATCATGCAGACGAAAACTGGCCATCTCTCTGTCTTTGAGTTAGCTCGGACCCACGGGGCGCCTTCTTCACTGGAGAGTACAAGAGAAAATTCGACAACTTCCACGATGGAACCTGTCCGGCTTGTTCTGTCCCTGACTCCATCCTGCATCGAAGCCTTGACTGCCCCCAGGCAGAAGCAATCCGTCAACAACATCCTGCTGCTGTTGCCCTCTGGGATCACGTTCCAGTATGTCTTCGGGAACGACTACTTGCACCCTGCAACCCGCATGCTGCAGAAGTACATGGCTATCTTCACCAGCTCTCCTACCTGCCCCCGCGGTTCCCAGGTCATGCGCCTATTTACGGACGGCTCCTGCGCCACACCAAAGAACCCGTCAACAGCCCTTTCCAGCTGGGCGGTGGTCTCAGCACCCGGCATTCGACAAGGCAGCGCCCGGGCGGAGCTGTACGCCATCGTGCAGGGGATCAAGTGGCTTCAAGCTGGTCATCACCGCGGACATATTTGGTCTGACTCGGCGACCTCGGTTCAAGGAGTGTGGCAGATCTGAAGGTTCAAACTTGCTCAGAAGCTCTATGAGCGACAACTTCAACATGTGAATGACTTGAAGCTCGCGAGTCTGAACGCCGCAGCGTCAGCTTTTGCAAGCAGAGCAATCCAAAACTACACACGATTTTGCCTCCCTTGCCGCGCACGTGCGCGTACCTTGAAGCCTTTCACGAGTTTCAAGCCTTTGGCTCTCGGGAAAATGCTGCTGGGCAGGGGGCGCAGGGGCAGGTCAAAGAAAACGTATATGGCCAGCCACATGACCCAGGGGGGCCCTCCAAAGCTCCAAAGTGTGGATGTCACCGATGATCTTTACACGAGCGCTCGCACAAAAAATTCTCTTTGGAAGCCACTTTGGAAGGAAGAGGCAGAAGCCAGGATCCACGGCCGGATCCCCAAAGACGCCAATTGGAATGAATCCGCTGATTGGACTGTGACTGCTGACGCCACACCTTTGACACAATTCGCCAACAAACCGGTTGAACACCTAACCCCTCCCCCAATTCTGGACCTCCCTCACTTGCTGGTCTGGGCTTCTTCATCCTTGCAGAGGGCCAGCAAGCTCTTCGTCGCTTTTTCTAGCTAGGCAACTCGGGTCGGTAGGCCAAGTTTGCTTAAACCAGCTTTGGTGTCCTCGAACACACCCAACGCTTCCAGCGTAAATCCTCCAATTCTACAATCCTCTCTTTGATTTTTAGATTCGCCAAGCAGATCAACGTTTTGCTTAAACTGGTCGTTTTGCACCCAGGCAACAGGTGTGTCTACCAGTTTAGCAACGAACCCTCTAGGCCATTTTTGCTCAAACCGGTTTTGGGTTCCCTTCAAGCTAGGTTAAGGGTCTCCTTTTCCAAAGCGCCAGGTCGTTTTGCGCCCTTCTGGGGTTGTTGCTTTGCTTGAGCAGTGGCAGTCCTTTCCGGTTTCGAGCGCAAGCCCCAAGCTCAGCGCCCCTTTCTCACCGCACCTCGAGGTCATCTTCAGCGTGACCCACGGCCGCAACGCGGTGCTGGGCTCTGTGGACCGGGTCGGAGTGCCTTTCGTCATCGGCATGACGGTGGCGGTGCTGCTGCCCCTCTACGCGCCCATCACCCAGGCGCCAGGGGGCGCGAGGGGCGCGAGGGCGCGAGGGCGGGCGGATCGGCGCCGACCGCTTTTCTCGCGGGGATTTGTGTGGAGATGCGCCTAAGAAGCCGAGGGAGGAGCGGATGCCGCGAAAAGAGGTCTTCCGTCTTTTTGGGGGCTGGCTGGAAGATTGGCTGAAAGATTCTGACCCTATGATTTGGACTGGGGGTGAAAGTCAGATCTGGGGTTGCCGCTTTGGGGGCCCCCGTGACCCTTTGATAGCGGCAATGTGGCCAGCCTTATGGGCTTCTTGTGGGTCAAGCAGCTGATGGCAGAGCAAGAAGGCCAAGGAGGCCATCGTGAGGCCAGATGTCACAGGGGTTTCGGTTCAGCAGCTAAAGACAGAACATCTGAAGCACCTCAGGCTCCAAAAAAACGTGCTTGGCGAGGAAGCGGTGAGCACCCGCAGTTGGAAGTGGTATGTCCCCATTCAGCGGGTGCGAATGGATACTAACGGAGTTGCAAACGACAGTTCCATTCTTGTTGGTGGTAAAGGGAAACCAAAAAGAAAACCGTTTTGCTATTTGGGGGGATCCCCAAAAAAGAAGACACACGCATCCATGAGAATTCTACAGGCCCTTCCCTAGACATGAACTGCATGTGCAAGCCTTCAAGCGATTGGTTTGCTGGGTCCCATCTTTGGGAGGGGAAACACCTGCCAAAAAAAGCCAGCGACTCCCCCCCCCACCCCTCCCCCTTTCCTGGCAAACCATGTTTCTTTTGAACGGACCCTTTGGTGGGTTCAATGTGGAACACCCCCCCTCCCCCCTCCAAAACCTCCGCGCCGAGAAAACCACCCGAGGCGGGGTGGAACCCCGCGCGGGACTTCGGGCCCCGGCTGGTGGCGTGGATGGCCGGCTGGGGCTCCGTGGCGATCCCAGGCGGGGTGGGTCCCGGGGCGAAAAGGTGTGGCGCGAGCAAATATTTTCTTGTTCACCGGGGGCGGAGGATTTGTTTTGCTGCAGCCATGGGCGACTTTTTTGTGAGGGGAAAGCCAATAAATTGTTGTTGGTCCATGTTTTAGAAGCACGTCCAAAGGATTTTGTTGCTGACGAACCAGGTACAGATTCATCGACCCCCTGTTTGTTCATAGGAGGGACCAACAAAGTGCTTCCCAAACTGCGCGTGGGTCCAAAATGAAGCCATTTCTTTTCCTCGGGATGTGTTTTGAAGAGCTCGTGGTTCGAGATTCGGGGGGTTGCCCAAACCTTCCCTAAGAAGCCTCAAGCTCACACACCCGGGCGGCACCAGGATGCAGTGCTCTGGCTGTCCCGGACACAAAGCGGCGAGTTTAAAGCGTGAAGCGCTGGATGAGCTGAGGCTTCGCTTTGACCTGGGGAGGGGAGCCAACCAGAGAATCCTTCTTCCCGCATTTCCCAGGTTTTCTTTGGCAACGACCACGGGAGCCAACCCTTCAATTCCAATGCTTCCTTTTCCCCGCGCTCAGTTTTCACTTTTGGCGAATCTCGTTTTGCCAGGCCCTCGTGGAGGCTTTTGGCTCTACATCCTCGGGCCCTGCCTTGGCGCGCCATTGGGCGCCTTCGCGGCCGAGAACTTGTGGCAGGCGCGGGCGAAGCGGGCGGCCGCCTGAGGCGTTTTGATCCCGCGCGTTTTTTGGAAAGCGGCGAGCGGCGATGGTTGAAGTCGCCCAACTGCTGTAAAGGCGCCGGTAAAGTGACCATCCCCAAAGGTTTTTCTAAAGGGGAAGTCTTCCCCTGCCCCACGGAAAAGCACCATGGACCCTTTTCAGTCATTTTGAGAAGCAAGGATGTGCACTTCAAGGGGCTCTGTTAGAGTCTTAGAGGGCAGGACCTTCTCAGTCTCACGTTCTCCTGCGCGGGTTTGACCATTCGCTTTGTTGCTTTGTCGTTCCAAATCATCGTTTCAACAAGGCAGTAGACGTGCAGGCAAATAAGTTGATGGCTGGGACGCTTTCAGCTACCACCCGAGGTGATAGTCGGAAAGCCTCCTCGGCCACATTTGCGCCAAAATCTAGCTGCCGTGGTTCAAGGGAGCGGTTTCGCCTCATGCTTCTCATGATTCGTGTTGGCACACCCAATGTGGCCTAGCTCCTCCCTGCCATCGATGTGCTCTCCTTATTCGCCGAACCTCCGCGACCAAAGAAGCGAGGTGCTGCCTTTGCGCTTCGGGCGGGCCGAACCGTTTGCGGGGCCCGGCCTTTGGGCCCTTTTTAAACGGCCGGATTGTTTCGACAGGCTGTGAGTCTGGGAGGAAGCGCGGCAAAAGGGGACGAGAACCACAAGGCAAAGCTTGTGCACTCGGCGAAACCGCGGCGAGTTCCTCCCGTTTTGGCGCCTCACAGCGTCCGGCCGATGCTTTAGCCATTTGGACGCGCTGGGAAGCCGACCCTCTGGTCCGCTCAGCGCATTTTGGGACTGGGAGGATCGAAAAGAAGCGACTGCCAAAGGCGCGAAGAATTGCCGAAGGCCCAACACAGCCAACCGGCTGTTGCTGGAACATTTGCCGGATATGAAAAACCCGAACGGTCCAAAAAGGACATGGGCGTGATTCTTTTTAGGGAAACCCGCAGAGTAGTTCATGCTTCCCTGTTAAACAGGCTAAAGAAGGGCACCCTCAAAAAAAGATAGACCCGCAGGAACATTGACAACATTTGTGGCTGCCATGTTGAAAGGGCCTGTCTGGCCAAGCGTAGAGCCTCTAGTTGGCTGACCACTCAGCCCTTTGTTTATGTCTGGGATGTTTTTTGACGTGCGTTGTAAGGCTAGACAAGGATCAGGAACCTGCCTTTTTTGCAGTTGGGACCAAAAGCTGAGGCAGTTGTGTAGTTGTGTGGCGTCTAGAGCCAAATCTATCTCTAAAGCGTTCGGGAGGGGTCTGTTCTCCCCTAAGCTTTCATCCGCGTGGGCCCGGTAGTACTTTTTTTTTTTGCTGTTGCTGTTGCTGTTGCTGTTGCTGTTGCTGTTGCTGTTGCTGTTGCTGTTGCTGTTGCTGTTGCTGTTGCTGTTGCTGTTGCTGTTGCTGTTGCTGTTGCTGTTGCTGTTGCTGTTGCTGTTGTTGTTGTTGTTGTTGTTGTTGTTGTTGTTGTTGTTGTTGTTGTTGTTGTTGTTGTTGTTGTTGTTGTTGTTGTTGTTGTTGTTGTTGTTGTTGTTGTTGTTGTTGTTGTTGTTGTTGTTGTTGTTGTTGTTGTTGCTGTTGTTGCTGTGCTGCTGCTGCTGCTGCTGCTGCTGCTGCTGCTGTGTTGTTGTTGTTGTTGTTGTTGTTGTTGTTGTTGTTGTTGTTGTTGTTGTTGTTGTTGTTGTTGTTGTTGTTGTTGTTGTTGTTGTTGTTGTTGTTGTTGTTGTTGTTGTTGTTGTTGTTGTTGTTGTTGTTGTTGTTGTTGTTGTTGTTGTTGTTGTTGTTGTTGTTGTTGTTGTTGTTGTTGTTGTTGTTGTTGTTGTTGTTGTTGTTGTTGTTGTTGTTGTTGTTGTTGTTGTTGTTGTTGTTGTTGTTGTTGTTGTTGTTGTTGTTGTTGTTGTTGTTGTTGTTGTTGCATGGACATGTGCAACTCAAGGACACCCTGAAGATGTTTCGTTTCATGATCCATGATCATTCATCCCCGTGAAACGGGGCCCAGTTTTGTCTTGACACCGTCGCCAAGAGATGTGCGATGCTCGGACCCCTTGCCTCGGAGAGCTGATAGGGATAGAAATTGGAGCCGTAGGGTTCTAGACGCCCATGAGAAGTATATTCCTAGTACAGGCACCATGACCAGGGCACAGGAGTTTGACAGTGGCACGCACGACCCTCTACACCTCCACGTCTCCTTGGGGTTGCAAGGGGCAAGAGAAGGCGCGGGTTGCAAATGAAGGGTAGCCCGTCTGGAACATGAGAGAGATCTATGGCTGTGGGTCAAAAAACCGGAATTCCAAAATGGACCCTGGTAAGTGGGAACATGGACCAAAACCTGCGGTTTGCCCCTCCGATCGTTTAATTTTGAGCCATACCCCTATGGGTAGCTCCGTCCAAATGGTTGGAGATTTGGAGCTTTCAAAATGGGCTGGCTTAGGGTTGCCCAGCCTGGAAGAAGCCGACCCCCTATGGCAGTTTGATGTGTATGATGGAGTCTCCTTCTGACCCCTAAAATATGGGGTCAATACCCAAAATCATGGGTCATGGATCCATGTTTCAAGGGTCATGGAGATTTCAGGTATGCCTTAAAATTTATGGAGCCCCACACCCGGACCCACAAAGAAGAAGCAAGCCGAATCCTCAGCATCTGGGAAGATTCGGGTCGCAGCTCACCGGTCGCTCGAGCTTGGGGGATTTGGTTTTTCTTCTTCTTCGGTTGCTAAAGCAGATTCCGTCCACGTTGCCATGGCGGGTAGCTCAATCAAACCACCATCCCAGTGTTCTCTTAGAGGCGACTCTCTTGTTGCCAATGGGCTCAAGTGACGGCTCCACGCACAAGTTTGCGCCGTCGGTCTATGATTTGTGCCGCCACGTGAACCAGCAAAAATGCAAAAATAAGAAGACGGCATGAGGACGCATCAAGCCACACGTCCGTTTTCTGTTTTTTGGGCCGCCCGACGGTCGCGATGGCGCAAATGGGGCACCGCCACGACGCCTCCGCGCCGTCCCAGAACTTGGGCAACGCGCTGGGCTCGCGCCGGGGGCCCGAGGCGACTGGAAGGAGGTCGTTGCGGGTTTGTCCCAGGAATTCTTCCACAGACAAGGCAAGAAGCACGTTTCCCCAGAATTCGCTCCGCCCTTTTTTTGCGTGCCCTTTGTTTTCCACCAACCAGTCCCAGGTTTGAAGAGGGATTTTGAAGGATGCTCAACCTATGCAAGTGGGCGACAACTACAAGTCAACTAACCTTGCTTGTTGCACCGCTGACCATGAGTACGACCTATTCACTCCCCGGCGGATTTACATCGACCCCGAAGCAGGTTGGGTGTCGCCGTGGGAGTTCCGGTGAACTCTGGAAGGGTTCTCCAGTTTGAATCTTGGGGCCATGCATGCGGCATGAGCGTCCCGGAAGTGACCTCCAGGCAACAGAGTTGCAAACACAACATATCGGTACGGAACAACAGATGCAGAGATTCGGTCCTCTGTCTTTCGTTTAGCGTCCGAGCCCATCCGCCTCAGGCCCCTGCGTTCGCCAGACTGCCCTGTACAAGCGCCATGAGAGCGGGAACGCCATGAAGGAGAGTGCCGAACTGCCGAACTCGGGCTTTGGTGTAGCAATTGCAAGAAGTAACTCTTGTAAATTAAGGAGAGGGCGGGGCACCAACCCTCTGGGTGTGCTTTCCTTTAGGTGGTCCTTCAAGGGTCAAACCGGATTTTGGAGGTCGCACATGGGCGGAAATAGAAGCTTGTGCCTTTTGGGCAGGTGGTGTTGTGCAGATCAACAGAATCAGAAAGCCAAGTTGGTAGAGCCTTTTTTGGGTTCCTTGTCAACTTGCCGCAGCCAGCTTTGGCCCTTTTTCCCAATGTTTCCCTCATGTCCTTTTGCCCCTTTGAAGGAACCCGAACCGGCCAGGGGCAGTCAGATTCTGATTGCGGGGGAAGCCGAGCGAAATCTTTGGGGCTATGGGGTTCCCAGATGCGGAATTCATTTCGCACCGCCGTTCAGAAACTCAGAGAGGAATGATTGGAGTTTCCCAGGAACAAAAAGCAACAATGGCTGAAAAACCATGGTCTTTTTAGGTGGCGCGAAATGGGATTTCGGGTCCCATCCATGGTACTGCTCCCCGGGGCTGAGAACTCTTTGATCTCGTGCGTCGAGTCCAGCACTCTGGAGGACCTACTGGGCATGGGGCACTTGGCATGGAAGGTGGGGTTCGTCGGCTGGGGAAGGCTTGAAGGGGTCGGGGGCCCAACTCCACATTGCAGTTTGGTAATCCTACAAACAAGGGAATGGTGCCATCCACCTAGTCATGAACAACCCATTCGTCTCCCGTTTTGGCTCAATTCGTCAAGGCTCGAAAAGGCTAACATTTTGTTTCCAGTCGAGAAGTCATCGGTCAATGAGTCGGGACCTGTTCGTGCTTTCGACCTCGATTTGTTAGTCTTTTGGATCCATGAACCCAAGGGCAAATATACATCTCAACAGGGTTGGTTGGAAACACAGAACCGTCCATGGTTCACTTGGTCCCAACCTCAATTTCACCGTGAAATTGAGGTTGGGGCGGGACGTTCCAAGTGAAGAGTGGCCGGTGCGATTGCCTGGGCGGTTTTGGGTATGTTGTTGGGATATCAAGTTGGTTTATGGTGCATTTGGGGGGAACGAGCCCAAGCTTCCCCTGTATTTTTTTTTTTTGAATAGGGTGGGGCTTTTGTTGGGCATGCACCCTGATTTGCCGGTTACGACGCGGCGAGGATGCGTCATGTCAGCCCTTGTGTTGAAGCAAATCGAAAGCATCTCAAATGCTCACACGGTTGGGCTGGTTGCGCAGAACGGAATCGGTGTTTTTTCCTTTAAATTTGCACCAGCCGTGCTTATTTTGAAATTCCCCATTTTGGATCCTCAATTTTTGTTTTTTTCTCACAGATGAAGCGAGCAAGTAAGTGAGTGAGCGACAGGTGGTTGCAAAGAAAAAGACACCTTGGGGCCGTTTTTTGTTTTGGTCTTTGTTTGAAATGACGCCGGGGGGTCATGTTCTTTTTGGAATCACATATTTTGAAATCACGCCTGGGGGGTCCAGTTTGTTTTTTAAACAAAAAAACATCACGCTTGGGGCTCCGGTGTTTGGTTTTCCGAAATCACGCCCAGGCGTGATGT